TATTCATATATTCATTGTTTGAAAAGAGGTCAAAATATGGTAAAAAATGTATCTTAATTTAATCAAACCAACATTTAGTTTACTATTTGGTAATACCTGAACTGGTAAAAATGAAAATGTTTTAGAAGTGTACATTTCAGGGTGCCTGGGTGGCTCAGTTGGTTAAGCGACTGCCTTCGGCTCAGGTCATGATCCTGGAGTCCTGGGATCGAGTCCCACATCGGGCTCCTGGCACAGCGGGGAGCCTGCTTCTCCCTCTGACCCTATCCCCTCTCATGCTGTTTCTCTCTCTCAAATAAATAAATAAATAAATAAATAAATAAATAAATAAATAAATAGAAATGTACATTTCAGGTTATAATGTAAAAAATAACTGAAAAAAATTCCATTCTTTTTTTCACAACATTAATGTATGGACTGAGTATAATTCTGTGTATATATGTGTTTCTTTCAGGGCTTGTGGTTGGATTTATCCTAACCATTGCAAATTTCAGCTTTTTTACCTCTTTGCTGATGTTTTTCCTTTCTTCTTCAAAACTCACTAAATGGAAGGGAGAAATAAAGAAGCGTCTAGATTCAGAATACAAAGAAGGTAAATGAATTATGTTTGACATCACTTATTTCATCCTAAGATATTATAAGCTTATAATCAGAACATGTTTAGACTGTTGAAACAGATAAATTTTGTATGAGAACAACTTTTAAGTAGTGGCCTAATTTAGTTTATCATTACTTCACCACAATAGTAATAGAATTTTAGAAGCATTAAAATCTATCATTAATTATTCTAAAACAATACAGAATGTAGGCAAAGGTACCATCTGACTTTTAATCATTTTTAAAATTGTAGTCATTTTTCTTTCCTTAAACTTTAATTTCCTGTAACTGCGTGATTTTCCTTCTGAGGAGAAAGCATTTCTTGTCCCTTTTATCTACTTGTTTGTTTGTAGGCGGGCATAGGAATTGGGTTCAGGTGTTCTGTAATGGAGCTGTGCCCACTGAGCTGGCCCTGTTGTACATGATAGAAAATGGCCCCGGCGAAATCCCAATAGATTTTTCCAAGCAGTACACTGCTTCCTGGATGTGTTTGTCTCTTCTGGCTGCACTGGCCTGCTCTGCTGGAGACACGTGGGCTTCAGAAGTTGGCCCCATTCTGAGTAAAAGCCCACCAAGGCTAATAACAACCTGGGAAAAAGTTCCAGTTGGTGAGTCTTTGTTTAACTTTCTTTAAAAAAAATTAAAAAAAAAAATGAAATGAACCAAAAAAATCTGACTTACTGCGTTTCTTACTTAAGAGCCTTTTAAGAATTTTAGTTAGTCTCCTTAACTGGAAAATTGCTGTCGGCTATTAAATTGATGATAAATAATATTTGCAGGAAATGTTAGTAAGTCCTAGATAAACAGTACAGAAACAGAGACATATCAGGAGAGGAAAAGGAAGAGAATGATAAGAGTGTTTCTTGAGGACCTATTATGTTGTTAGTGCTTTAACATAGATCTCAGTTCCCCGTTACCATTACCAACAACTACTACTAACAATACATTTTTGTCTTTGTCATCACCTACCCTTCCCTTCTTATTCCCTTCTCCTTGTCTTCCCCCTCACTTCCTCCTCCTTTTCTTTTTCTTCCTCATGTCCTTTTCATTTTTTCTCTTCATCATTATTGTCATTATCCTTAATACCCTTAATATTCATGTGAATTGGTTCTTTTATTATTTCCACCTTACTAACAAGGAAATTAAGAGAAGTTAAGTAACTTAACTACAGTCATGTAACTTAGAAATGACAGAACTGGGGCGCCTGGGTGGCTCAGTCGTTAAGCGTCTGCCTTTGGCTCAGGTCATGATCCCAGGGTTCTGGGATTGAGCCCCGCATCAGACTCTTTGCTCGGTGGAGAGCCTTCTTCTCCCTCTTCCACTCCCCCTGCTTGTGTTCCCTCTTTAGCTGTCTCTCTCTCTAATAAATAAATAAAATCTTAAAAAAAAAAGAAAGAAGAAATGGCAGAACTAAGATTGAAACCAGGCATTTTGGCTCCATTGAACCATTCCCCTGCATTGCTTAGCATGTCATGAGTTAATGAGGGGAAAAGACTCCTTTTTAACTAGACCTATGGTCTTTGGATTGTATGAAAGAGAACCTTTTCTTTGAATTAGTCTTGATAAGATGGGTACCAAATTATTTTTTTGCTTTCCTTGATTTTATGTGTTTGTTGATTGTTAACCAGATTATTTTATCTGTGTTTTTTCTTCAGGGACCAATGGGGGGGTCACAATGGTGGGCCTTGCCTCCAGTCTACTTGGTGGTACCTTTGTGGGCATCACGTACTTCCTCACACAGTTGGTTTTTGTTAATGATTTAGACATTTCTGCTCCCCAGTGGCCAATTATTGTATTTGCGGGTCTGGCTGGATTACTGGGATCAGTTGTAGACTCATATTTAGGAGCTACAATGCAATTTACTGGTAAGAACATCACTTTATTATTGCAACTTATTGGTGTATTAAATGGGAAAGAAATGTGGGGGAGAAAAACATGGCAATGAAAACAATCCCAAAGACAGAGGAAATCAAGAGGCCAGGAATGACGGACAGTCTTTTCTACAATTTTGATTAAAAAAAATTTTTTGTTGTTAAATTAATTGAAAGAGAACTAGTCCCACAGAGCAATGAGTAGAAGCTGTGTGGGGAGGAAACATAGTGATAGTGCAGGATAGTGATAGTGCAGGAAACAGATGCTTTTGCTTTGGGGACTTCACCTAATCCCAGGGAAAGCAGAACATTTGGGATCAGATCATTTTAATGCTGCACCTTCCATCTGTTTTCCAAGTCCATTCGAGAGAGAATTATTGTACTATGTACACATATGACCTATTTTTCTACTGTGACATAATGCTTTCTGTCCCCACTGAATTTTTAGCCCCACTCAAGATATATGGGAGTTGGTTTTCCCCAGAATTTTCTATGCTTTGCGTCTGAGGCTCTCTTGTCATTTCAGTGTACTGACATATTCTGTTAGGTGTGTATTTCCTCCACATTCTGACCAACATGTTTTCTCCTTTGACTCATACAGTTAAGAGGCTGGGAGTTTGGGGAGTTTCCTTGTGTACAGTCCTTCCAGTTCTCTTCATGTGCCAAGATACTATTCTTGCCCTCCTGCTTTGCTCCCCACCTATCACAATGTTTGTTCTCTCAGATGCATTTATCTAAATACTAAGGAGGAAGCAGTCTGATTTTAGTTCAAGCTAAAGGTCACTAACTCTACACACACACACACACACTCTCTCTCTCTCTCTCTCTCTCCCCCCCTCCCTTCCTGTGTTTTTGGGGTTTTTTGTTTGTTTAGGAACCTAGGTTTTATTCTACACTGGGCTCTAACTGGGGAAGTTTCTGATCACATTGAGTGGGCTGAAAAAATTAATGTAGGCTGTGGGAAAGATTAATTCCTTTGGTAAATTCTTTGTGTGCCTCCTTTGTGGTGGCGCCATGCTGGGTCCTGGGTTTCCATCGCAGAGGCTGAAGACATGATCCCTATTCTCAGAGACCTCATAGGTTGGTCTTGGAGGCCTAATCTAGTTTCATGCTCTCTCTGCTGTTAATGTTCTTCCTTCTTCCTGTGAAGGAACTCCAGCAGTGTTGAGAGAACAGTATTGAGGTGTACTAAAACTCACATTTCAAAAAAATCCTTAGTAATCAAGGGTTCCATATCTCTCACTGTATAATTATCCACTGAAGGTAATTTATAAGTGGTTGAGACTCTTTCAAAGATTGTATTCTTTGGAGGAGAAAAGCTAATTTGTTTTAAATCAAGTCATTTGGATCTTCCACCTCACTTGCTTCTTCTCCACTCCAGGTTTAGATGAAAGCACTGGCATGGTGGTCAACAGCCCGGCGAATGAGGTGAAGTACATAGCAGGAAAACCGATTCTTGATAACAACGCAGTGAATCTGTTTTCTTCTGTCCTCATTGCCCTCTTACTTCCAACTGCTGCTTGGGGTTTTTGGCCCAGGGAGTGAACTTTTTTCATTTACAGAGGTTGAAACTACAGTAAATTTAGCTAATTTTGCAATTCCAAATTTCATCCTAAGAAGAATCATTGTAATGGGCAAAGAGGAAATACCAGCTCTTCCCATATTCATTGTGATGAAATTCCACATTTTTCCTCTAACTCCCTTGTAACAGCTAACATCTCTGTAGTGAAAGATAAGTGTACATAGAATTTATTCGTATTTTTCTTCTGCTGAATAGAGCTTCGTGAGCACTGAAGCTATACTATCCCTAAATATTGCTGTATGTTGGACTAAAAGTGCAATACCACTTGTGCCAGTTACCGAAATTTTAGTTTTGGGTGGTGTCAACTGATGTGTGTGGAAGCCTGAATAAGTGTAGTCCTCACTTCTTCCATTACTTGCCATTTCCACTTGTGAAAAGTGTGGAGTATGGTTCTTAGTGAGCTACTCCACATGTGTTGTTCTTCCTTCCTCAGGGTTAGTAATGAAAAAAAAACTAAATGTCTTTTTCATATGACCATTAGAATGCATGAAAAAAACTATTTTTAAGTAAAAACAAGAGATTTATCTTCTATCGAAAAAATGTGCACCTTACTTATATTTCAGTTGATTTTTGAGCAGAAATTATCTTGAATTTAATATTTTTAATGTATTTTCTAGCTTTCTTTGAAATTTGTGTAGGAATCTGTTACTTTGGCACCCTAAACACTTAGTCACTGGAAAGCTATTGTAATTATTTTTTTATTTGCTACCTAGAATTCATTGGAAGATGCTATGATTTCCTATTCTGTGCTTAACTTATGCTCTCCTGTACAATATAGAATCAACTAAAATGAATCCTACTTTTCTGTTTGTTCTTCAGTGTGATTTATTGTATGCTAAAGGAGTTTGATATGGTATGGATTATTTTGCTGAAAGTATTTAAAAATATTTCTCATGTGATTTCCATACATTCCCCCCCTTCTTTTGAATTTAAATTTAAATTGACGAGAGATTCCATGAATAAGCCACCATTATTAGAGTGGATAAAGCTTAGACTTCTTTACTTGTGACTACTACAGTGATAATTGAGAACTGAGTTGATTCTGGAAGAAAGAAAAAAAAAAAACAGTTGACACCCTTAATCCTTAATCCAAGCAACGGAGGGAGTCTCTATCATTGGTTTTCACCTTTGGGTATATATTGAAATCACCTGAGCATCTTTTAAAAGAAATACTTGTGTCTGGGCTTCACTTCCAAGGACTCCAATTTACCTGTTCTGGGGTAGAGCCTGGGTATTAGGACTTTTTAAGAGCTCTTGCAGCACGTGAGAATTATATAGGGCATTTTTTGGTTTTTCAAGATTTTTTTTTTAAGTAATCTCTACACCGAGCGTGGGGCTCAAATTTACAACCCCAAGATCAAGAGTTGCATGCTCTACATGCCAGCCAGGTGTAGAGCATTTTTAAAAACACGTGCCAAGGCCCCTGTCTAGACCAAGTAAATCAGAATATCTGAAGGTGAGGCTCATGCATAGGTTATTTATAGAAAGCTCTCTAGGAGATCTAACTTTAAACAGGTTGAGAACTAAGTCAGAATGTCCTAAAGCACTATACATAAAAGAAGCTTCAAAAGAGTGGGGCTTTTCATTTTATGCAGACAACTATTAGTAGCAGTGCTGTATGCTGTCTTTATGCAGTAATAGTTTCTAGTAATCACACTATGTCTTATAGCTACATCACTTACCAGATCATTCCTGTGTCAGTTTTTGATGCAGTCTGTTTATTCCTATAGCTGTTCCAACATGCCTTTTCTCTTTTCGTGGTGACCCATCCTCATGACATACTATGGGATAAAAATATAAAAATCTTTGGGTTTGATAGTGTCACCGTATCATTAACAGGTTAGGGAAATACTGCTTGACAAGCCTTTATTTGAAAACCTAGGGCTAGTTGTTTTAAAATCAAAATTTTCAGATTTTAGAAAACAGAGTACCTATATTTTACTCAAACTCTCAAAAGAGTCTTAAGATAGCAACCATTCTCAAATACACTAATATTTCTATGGTGAATGTATGAATAGCACCACTAAGTGTGGTAACTGAATATTATAAAGAGCCTCAGGTCAGGTCAGTTTTGTCAGCAAATTTAGGAAGAACCTTTGTTTTCAGAGCCTTTTTTGGATATGAGAATTATAGATAAGGAATTGTGGCTCTTTTTGCTTTAATCTTAGCTGTATTTTATTATAACATCCTTTGTAATTGGATATTTAACTAGCTCAATCTATTCTTTCTCTTTACTGAGTGAACAATTTATTTTAAAAACACTTACATAGAATTCCACCTAACAGTATAATAAAACAGTACGTACTGCCTACCTAGGCAACCTAAGGGTGTACATACCATTTCTTAAAACACTGTTAGGCAGTAGAGAAGAGGAAGGTGTCTGTGGCTCAAGGCTTTTGAAGCTTTTGAAAGAGATCTGAAGACTTAAAGGAGTCCAAGAGAACAATGAATTGATACAATTGGTCATTCCATTAGTTTTTCTCATTACTTGGGTTAAGGTATGCCTCAGCCAAGGTGCATATATCTCTTTCTTGTTTCTAACTCCTATATATGTAGGATGCTGCCTTCAGAAATGCCAACCCCATCCCAATTAAAGACCTAGTATAGAGAAAAATCATGCAAGGTGAGGTATCATAAACTTTGCCTTAATGCCTGTAGTATTAACAGATGCTCCCTGTTATATACAATGCGTATATTGGAGCCCAATCATCTGATGTCCCTGGTGTTTCATCTGCTGTTCTGATGTCATCACAATGAGAAAAAAAGTGCTGTAGCCATCAAATGTCAGGTGAATTGTACATGCTTTAAAGATGAAAACACAATTATGCAGTTAAATGATTTGATCTCCTAATGGAGTATCTGTTGCTGTAATTCCAAATGGTCCTGAATATTTTAAAAAATATAGATGTTCAATATATGTTTGTTAAATTAAGTTGTTTGACTGTAATCAGTGTTTCCTTTAAGAGTCACTGAAAGTTGATAATCAGAACATTTTTCTGGAGGAAAATCAAAAATAAAACCAGTCTGGCTACCTGAATTTCTGAGGACTGTGATGATTCCAACATTTCTCAATCATGTGATGTGCTATTAATGGTTTGGGAACTAAACAGTCAGGAAATGATAGTAAGGGCAAGGCTTCTAAAATTGTTTTCTCTGCCAAGACTAGACATGTTAACTCTCATTCATCACCCCTTTCAAAATTTACTTTATGGAGTGTTGTTGGAGTGGGGGGTGGGGTGGGAGGGATGGGGTGACTGGGTGATAGACACTGGGGAGGGTATGTGCTCTGGTAAGCGCTGTGAATTGTGCAAGACTGTTGAATCTCAGATCTGTACCTCTGAAACAAATAATGCAATATATGTTAAGAAAAAAAAGAAGAAGAAGGTAGCGGGAGGGGAAGAATGAAGCGGGGGAAATCGGAGGGGTGGACGAACCATGAGAGACGATGGACTCTGAAAAGCAAACTGAGGGTTCTAGAGGAGAGGGGGGTGGGAGGATGGGTTGGCCTGGTGGTGGGTATTGAGGAGGGCACGTTCTGCATGGAGCACTGGGTGTTATGCACAAACAATGAATCATGGAACACTTCATCTAGAACTAATGATGTAATGTATGGGGATTAACATAAGAATAAAAAAAAACATGTGGCAACTCTTTTTATGTTTGGGTTTGTTTTTGTTTTTGCATTTCTTTTTTATTTTTTTAAGGCATCTCTACTCCCACTGTTGGGCTTGAACTCACGACCCCAAGATCAAGAGTTGCATGCTCCACTGACTGAGCCAGCCATGTGCCCCAGATTTATTTTCTTTTTTAATTAATATTTGATTACTTATGTAACGAACTGAATCTATTAATTTTTTTAAGATTTTTTTATTTTTATTTGAGAGAGAAAAAGATTGAGTGTGAGCGTGCACAAGTGGGGGGAGGGGCAGAGGAAGAGGGAGAAGCGGACTCCCTGCTCAGTGGGGAGCCAGACACGGGCTCAATCCCGGGACCCGGGGATCATGACCTGAGCCAAAATCAGACACTTAACCAAGTGAGCCACCCAGGTGCCCCTATGCTGAATCTATTCTTTTTAAAATATTAGAATATTAGAGATAAAGCTAAAATATCCTTTTGCCTCCACAACTCAATAAACCAAACCTTCTACCTTCCCCCAAATAACTACTGTTAGAAATTTGAGATATTTTCTACACAATAATTGTTTTGAGTATATTTTCAAATCTTTTTTTTTTTTTAAGATTTTATTTACTTGCCAGAGAGAGAGAGCTCGCACAAGCAGTGGGAGCGGCCAGCAGAGGGAGAAACAGACTCTCTGATGAGCAGGGAGCCAGACGTGGGACTTGATCCCAGGATCCTGGGATCATGACCTGAGCTGAAGGCAGATGCTCAACCGACTGAGCCACCCAGGTGTCTCTGTTTTGGGTGTATTTTAACACACATTCTTTTTAATCAATGAAACTTTGTTATAATTAATACCATTTTGCTGCTTTAAGTTGGATGCCTACATTCAAGAAAAATCTATTAAGGAAAAAAGGTTAGAATATACCAAAATATTAATGTGTTCTTTCTAAAATTTCTACAATCCAAATGTGTTTCTTCTACCAATCAAGAAAATACTCAAAATAATCTGGAAATTACCCCTCTTCCCCATCTACCCATCCCCATCATTGTTTTAAATGGTATTCCTTATTAACTATCTTATTAGCAATCAATTAAAAGAATAAAATGGGGGCACCTGGGTGGCTCAGTAGGTTAAGTGTTTGCCTTCAGCTCAGGTCATGATCCCAGGGTTCTGGGATTGAGTCCTCATCAGGCTCCCTGCTCAGTGGGGAACCTGCTTCTCCCTCTCCATTTGTTCCTCCCCCTGCTTGTGTGTGCTCGCTCGCTCTCCCTCTCAAGTAAATGAATAAAATAACTTTTTTGAGATTCCCAATCGTGAAGCCTGAGGCAACAGTGTAATCCAGTCGTTAAAGGCTTTAACTATAGGGGCCCGTGGGTGGCTCAGTAGGTTAAGGGTCTGCCTTCGGCTCAGGTCATGATCCCAGGGTCTTGGGATCGAGCCCTACGTCTGGCTCTCTGCTCAGAAGGGAGCCTGCTTCTCCTTCTCCCTCTGCCTGTCACTCCTCCTGTCTTGCTCTCAAATAAATAAAATCTTAAAAAATAAAATGGGAGTTGAGTATAATATAATGAAAAGTAACTGGATACTCAAAGCAATACTTTAATACCTTCACTTTTGGATTGTTGCAAAAATTAATATAAGTATCACATATCTCTACCTGTGTGGTATATATTTTCAAATTCTGATCTTAGCTGTTTGCATTTGGAATTCTACATGGCAAACACCTTTGACAAAATTCTCAACACGTTGTCGTGGAGTTCTAGAACAAAGAACCTTAAGGAATAGTCTCAGCTCATTGCTCAGAACTGAAGCTAAAAAATATGTATACCATCTCATATGAGTGAGTGTATTGTTTTCTAACATGAATGCCTCCCTACCTTTGCATACACTGTCCTTTCTGCCTGGAATTCCTTCCCCTCTCTTCCCTTACTGATACTTCAGACACTGGCTTAGTGGGACTTCCTCCAAGAATCTTCTCAGGCTGAATTAGGTATCCCATACACATTCTACACTTTAACTACAGCAGTTACCACACAACATTTATTGATTCAGCATATTAATACTTAACCTTTTTCTTCAAACTACTGTTCTCCCCATTGCTAAGAACTATGTATGTGTTCTTAGAAATGCACATGTAGAAAAGGCTTTAAACATTTCTTTGGGACTAAATACAGTTTTTAAGTCCATTTGTGGAGCTAGAATAATAATAGGGATTCTATTATTTTCTCTTAATCTCATTAGGCTACAATCAATGTTTTAAATAGTGATACCATATAGGATTAGGGGCACCTGGGTGGCTCAGGTGGTTAAGCATCTGACTCTTGATTTCGGCTCAGGTCATGATCTCAGGGTCCCGGGGTTGAACCCTGTGTCAGGGTCCCCACTCAGTGGGGAGTCTGCTTGTCTTCCTCTCCGTCTGCCCCTCCCCCTGCTTACATGCTCGCTCTCTCTCTCTCTCTCAAATAAATACATCTTTAAAAAAATAAAAATAAAAATAAAATAACTAAATGGTGGTACCATATAGGATTACCAGAGAATAAACTAATTGGAACTGGATGTGGTAGATAAAGGTCCCCATATTTCTGTTGTGATCATCTGTGTAATGTTGCATGTAATAACTCAATTATAATTATAATGAAATTTGATCCTAAAGTTGATCTTTATAATGGACTAATATATTATTGAACAAGATTAATTCCTCAATTTTTTCCATAAAGTGGGGCACTAAATTGTGTCCAAACACTAACCATTCTCAAGTGTGTTTCCTCAGTGATTGATTAACAAGCAGCTTCTCTTTCAGTTACAACCTGTACCCTGGCATATATTGAAATATATTTTGAAATAACCATTTTTTTCCTCAATTTTAAAGTAATATATTCTTTACATAAAATTTTAAAAAATAAGAAAAACGTGTAGAAGGGAAAAAAGATTTCATAATCTTGCTCAAAGACAGGATTATTATTTTAGTATATTTAGTATTTTAGGAAGGAAAGAAAATATCTAAATCCTTTTGTGTGTCCTGGTGCAAAAGAAACCATGATTGTTGAGGGGGTCTGGTCCCAGGCATAACATTCTGTTTTGTTTCTCACTATTCGATGTCCTGTCTCACACCTGAGCAGTGAAATAGTGTGATAGAGATTAAGGGGCACCTGCATGGCTTAG